AAGCTCATCTGTTTCCAACTTTTGAAAGACTGAAGTTGCATAGCCGGCTGGAACAAATAAGCTTCAGGTGGCTACTGCTCTGTCTGATCCTTGCAACACATCTTTTATTTTCACAAGAAATCTCCTAAGCTGAGTCTAGTGACCTAATTGCAAACATTTTCCTATTCATCAGTTACTTTAAGGAAAGCAGGTAGAAGAGAGTTTATGCAGGGCAGAGTTTCTGTTAGGACTAGAATTGCTCTACCTTTTTAAAATTTTTAATTAAATTCACTGGGTTAACATTGGTTAATAGGTTCATATAGGTTTCAAGTACACATTTCTGTGATACATGATCTGTACATTGCCTTGTGTACCCACCAGCCAAAGTCAGATCACCTTCCATCACCCAATATGTGGCCCCGCTTACACTCCCCACCCCACCCCAACTCCCTCTGGTAACCTCCATACTGTTGTCTGTGTCTATGAGTTTCAGTTTTATATCCCATATATGCATGAAGTCACTTGGTCCTTAGCTTTCTCTGACTGATTTATTTTGCTTAGCATGATATTCTCAAGGTCCACTGATGTTGTTGAAAATGGCAGTATTTCATCTTTTCTTATGGCTGTGTAGTATTCCATTGTATATAGGTACCACATCTTCTTTATCCAATCCTCTATAAAAGGACACCTTGGTTGTCTCCATGTCTTGGCCACTATGAATAATGCTGCAATGAACACGGGAGTGCATATATCTTGGCAAATAAATGTTTTCAATTTTCCAGGTAGATACCCAGGAGAGGAATTGCTGGGTCATATGGTACTCTATTCTTAATTATTTTAGGAACCACCAGACTGTTTTCCACAGTGGTTATACCAGTTTACATTCCCACCAGCAATGAATGAGGGTTCCCTTTTCTTCACAATCTCTCCAGCACTTGTTATTATTTGTCTTATTGATAATAGCCATAGAATTGCTATACTTTTAAGTCCTCTTCTGACTTCAATATATGTACTGTATACATATCATATATAGTATTTATATATAGAATATAGTTAATATTTATATACTTATATAATATTATGGTATAAGAAATATATTTGGTCTTTGTCTCCAATTCCTGGCACCAAGTTCCTAAAACCCTTGGAATTTCCTGAATGATAGGAGTGGTGTTTGTCATTTATAAGGAGCCCCTTTTGAGGGGACTTTTGGGAAGCCCTGAAGTGTAGGAGCTGGTTGACAGAGGAACCAACCATGTTATTAGAGGGTGGAAACTTTCAGCCCCACTCCTGACTTTCAAGGAGCAGAGAGGAACTAGAGATTAAGTTCATCATCAATGATCAGTGATTTAATTGATCATGCCTATAATGAAGCCTCCACAAAGCCCCAAAAGGATGGGTTCAGAGAGCTTCAGGGTTGGTGAACATGTGGAGGTATGCGCAGAGTGGCTTATGCCTAGAGAGAGTATAGAAGCTCTGTGCCCTTTGCCCCATGTATCTCTTCCATCCGGCTATTCCTGAGTTTTAAAATAAACTGGTGATCCAGTAAACAAAATGTTTCCTAAGTTCCCTGACCCACTTTTGCAAATTAAATCAAAACTCAGAAAGAGATCTTGGGCACCTCCCAGTTACAGTTTCTGCAGTGGGGGAAGGGGCAATCTTGTGGAGCTGAGCCCTTAATCAGTGGGATCTGATGCTATGTCCAGGTAGTGCCAGAACTGAGTTAAATAATAGGCCACATAGGTGGTATCACAGTTGCTTCATACATGGAAAACGCAAACCCACACATTTGGTGTCAGAAGTGGAGTAGTGTGTAGAACATTAAGAGTAAACACATACAGGAAGAAGTGTGTGTTTTTTTCCCTTTACCAATATACAGGTGGGAGAGTAGGTTTACAGCTGTTTGTATGGAAAATAATACAATAATTAATAATAAAACAAGAATAAACTCTGTGTTTCACATACAACTATAAACCTACTTTTGCCTGACCCCGTCTGATTAAATTTCCCAGTTCCTTGATCCCTCTGTCTACAGTTGGTGAAAGAGCTGTGTGTTAGTTCTGTTGCATTATCAAGGACTGCCCCTGGGCAACACTGATACAGGATTATAAGGAGCTAGGAAAATTCCTCAGCAAGTGGAATAGGGAAACAAATAAATAGCTGAACAAATTGGCGGAACAGTTTATAGCCGCATAAAAAAAGCGTTGTCCTTAGAGATAACACTTAGGCCTCAGTTGTGTTTCAGCTCCACGTCCAGAAAAGCAGCAAAACCAGATGGGTGACACCAGAACCAGATGCAATGACTAAGGACTCCCTGTCTGACACTGCCCAATCATTGGAGACTATGGCCCTGAAAGGGCACACCTGGAGAGCTGATGAATGTTCTATTGAACCCTCCTCTGAGACCTCCCCTAAGATTCCTGGCCCCTACCCCTGACCCCCTGCCCCCGCCAAGAGAGAGAGAGAGAATGGGACACAGACTCTGCGGAACAATATGAAGACCATGCAGGAAGAAAAAGGGAGAAAGGATTGTTGCTGGTGGGCCATGAGAAAGTGCTGTGTGGTTCTGAATTAAGAACTGGAGATCCTGGCTCTATGCTCCTACTGTTGAACACACAGCCGGGTCTTCCTGCGCAGTGCCAGCCTCAACCCTGCGACAAGATGGTAAAGATCAGAGTGAACGGATTTGGCCTTACTGGGCGCCTGGTCACCAGGGCTGCTTTTTACTCTGGCAAAGTAGACATTGTCACCATCAATGACCCCTTCATTGACCTCAACCACATGGTCTACATGTTCCAGTATCGTTCTACTCATGGCAAGTTCAAAGGCACAGACAAGGCTGAGAACGAGAAACTTATCCTCAATGGAAAGTTCATCTCCATCTTCTAGAAGTGAGATTCTGGCAACATCAAATGGGGTGATGCTGGTGCTGAGTATGTTGTGGAATCCACTGGTGTCTTCACTACCATGGAGAAGGCTGGGGCTCTCTTGAAGAGTGGAGCCAAGAGGGTCCTCATCTCTGCCCCTTCTGCCGATGCCCCCATGTTTGTGATGGGTGTGAACTATGACAAGTATGACAACTCCATGAAGATTGTCAGCAATGCCTCCCGCACCACCAACTGCTTGGCCCCCCTGGCCAAGGTCATCCATGACAACTTTGGCATAGTGGAGTGGCTCATGACCACAGTCCATGCCATCACTGCCACCCAGAAGACCGTGGACAGCCCCTCTGGGAAGCTGTGATGTGATGGCCGAGGGGCTGCCCAGAACATCATCCCTGCTTCTACTGGCGCTGCCAAGGCTCTGGGCAAGGTCATCCCTGAGCTGAGTGGGAAGCTCATTGGCATGGCCTTCCGTGTCCCCACCCGCAATCTGTCAGTTGTGGATCTGACCTGCTGCCTAAAGAAAGCTGCCAAATACAATGACATCAAGAAGGCAGTGAAGTAGGCACCAGAGGGCCCCCTCGAGGGCATCCTGGGCTATACCAAGGACCAGGTTGTCTCCTGCAACTTTAACAGTGACATCCATTCCTCCACCTTTGATGCCGGGGCTGGCATTGCCCTCAATGACCACTTTGTCAAGCTCATTTCCTAGTATGACAATGAATTTGGCTATAGCAACAGGGTGGTGGACCTCATGGTCCACATGGCCTCCAAGGAGTAAAAGACCCCTGGACCACCAGCCGCAGTGACAGGAAGAGAGATGCTCAGATGCTGGGGAGTCCTTGCCCCAAATCGATCACCGAACACACTGAGAATTTCTTGACCTCCAGTTTCCACCCTAGACCCCCTGAAGAGGGGAGGGGCTTAGGGAGCCCTGCCTTGTCATACACCATCAATAAAGTTCACTGTAGCCTTCCCCCCCGCCCCCCCAAAAAGAACTGGAGATCCTGGTGATGCAGCACATGGTTCTGGGAACTGTGAGGGGCCTGCCTAGCCGAGCTCCGGACTTCTGTTCTTTTTCCTCTGAAGGATGGTATCCCTGACTGGCCAAACTGGGCAAATGGGGGAAGGTAGGACTGTGTTGGTTTTTTTAAACAGATTTTGAGATTTTAACAGCATCATTTAGCCATTATTCAAAACTTACACAAGTTTTGAATATATAGTTGTTTTTGCCAAACTCTGCCATTGAGAGCCATAATTTTTAAGGGCAGCAGGCAAAGGACCTAGAACAGAGGGACCCCGGGGAAGGGGGTGCATTGTTCCAGTAATAGCATCTGGGGCTCCCCTCGACAAGGGGTCCATTATTCAGTAACAAGCTGGCCCTAGGCAGACCTGCTCAGGGTTAGGCCCCTGACTGGTAACACCACCACTGGGGACTCAAAATATCACAGAATCACTGTCCCAGGTTTAAGGAAAGGAGCTTAAAGACTACCCTAATTCCCAGAATACTAAAATCCAAATGAATGATTTGCCCATGGTCACTTAGTAAGTGGCTAAATGGGCTAATACACATAAAGCATCCAAAACACTGCCTGGCACATATGGTTATCCAACAAATTGAGAGCCAACTGGCGGTTCTAGCTTCAGGTTCTTAGCTTCCCAAACACTCCATGCTTATCGATTATACTAACTCCTTTTAATTAGACTGTTAAACATAAGGTATTCACTTGTGTAATGAACATTTTTTAACTGAGTACAGATTTAATTTACACACTTGGATTTGGCCTCTAGGTGCCCATTTTATCTTTAAAAAAGGATCCACCTGCTTGCAAATCAACATTTGGAACTCAGTAGGGTTGTTTGGGGTTTTTTTTTCCCCTGCTACAACTACCCTGAGCAAGTAAACACTATCCTTTCTTCTTTATTGAGAAAGCTAATAGGAATTGCTTTTACGCTAAGTACCAAGGGGACCCCCTTCTCGGGTAAAAGTGACCACGATAATCTCTGCTTCGCGATGCTCAAAATGATAGGACCACACCATTGCCCATGCCAGACGGCAAGCAGCTGTCTCGCTCTTGTCACTGCGCTTGCCTTCCTGTGACCCGACGCCCGGGAGTGACGTCAGGCCGCTGCTCGGCCAAGCTTCCCTCCGCCATGCTGAGCGCGGGCGGCGCGGGGCTGGCCTGGTGCCTGCGAGTCAGGACACAGTCGTGGCTGTGGGGTTCGCGGGGCCGCTACCTGGCCCTGGCGCGCCCAGTTTGCGCGCCCCACACTGGGGACCGCCATCCTTCCGTGGGGCGGGGGATGCGCTGGCGTCAGCTCAGCTTGTCGGCCGCGGCAGTCGTGAACTCGGCTCCCCGCCCCCTGCAGCCCTACCTGCGCCTTATGAGGTTGGACAAGCCCATTGGTGAGTGCGGGCGGGCGCGCGTACGGCGCTAGCGGGCTTGGGGCCGCTGGTGTAATGGAAATGAAGTACTAAAGCCGGGTCTTGGCCACCGGGCGCCGGGTACCCTCGGGGCAACCGAACCGGGCGGTTTGTCAGGTGGCCTGCCTTCACGCCCCTCTGAGTCCTGAGCGTCCGAGCCGCGAAAAAAGAAAAAAAAATTCGCTCATTCCACAATCCTTGTTTAAGTAGTGAGTAGAAGTCCCGTGCTCGTCGTGTCCCTGCATTTGCACAGATTTGCAGTGTTGTAGCACTTCCTTACTTTATGCTTGATCGTTCCCATAATCCTGTAAGGCTCCCAGTGCAAGTAGACAGTAAAGACACTAAACAAACTAAGGTTCTATAACAGAGCCAGAACAGATGAACCTAGTGTTTTAATGCTGGGTTCTAGGTCTTTGCCCTACACCAGCCGTCTCACAAAGATTTAATTAATTTGAATGCAGCACGTACCGCACTGCACTGTGTCTATCAGCTCACAATCGCCTCCTGAATATTTCCCTGATCTTCCTCTTTAAAATAACACCCACCACCTAACTGTCCCTTTACCTCTGTTTTTCTTTTAATAGCACTCTCCATTAACAAACCTTACACATTTATTGACTTCTCCAATACAGTATAAGCTCCACATAAATGGGATTTAAAAAAAAGAAATCTGGTGCCTAGAACAGAGCCTGAGAGTAGCATTGAATGAATTAATAAATTCCTACAGCATTGCCTAGCTTTAGAGATAGAAAGAGCTATAGAAACTCCCTGCTCTCAAGGAACTCCCAGCGTAGTTGAAAAAGCTGATTTAAGTGATATAGGTAGTAAGTACAGCAGGAAAGACTCAAGAAGAATATGTAACTCTAAGGACAGGTAGGTTTTGCAAAGGAGGGAAGAGTTCTTGATTGGTGGGGGAAATGTCTTCGGCAAAGATGGAAAGGTAGAGTGTTATTGGAACTTAAAGAATATAAGCTGATCTAGAACCCAGGTGCGTGTAGAAAATAGTGGGAGTACAGGCTGGTTAGGAGCTGGACTGAATAAGGATGGACAATGGGGAGGGAGTGGTAGAGGCTGAATTCCAGGTAGGTGATGGCATTCCCATTGCAGTGCATGGAAATACATTAAAATGTACAGATACATTTCCTCCACCTTTGCTGAGCCAAAACCGCAAATTAGGCTTCATTTTTGGTATTCTAGGCTTATGCACTACGTGTTTGGGACCATAGCACTAAGAGTTTACGGCAATCAGCAATTATAGTATAAAAGCAAAATAAGTGATGAGGCATAGCCGTGCCCATCATGGCATGGCCCCTTGCGTTGGGGGGCCAGATAGAAGTAGATAGGCATAAATTTTCAAGCCCAGTTCTAATCTAAAGCCTAACCATAAATCTCTTCTTTGGGTCTGTGTCACAGAGCTTCAGGCATCCAAGACAGGCATCCAAGACAAATCAACAGCTACTGTTATTCCCATTTCCATAAACCTCTGGTTTCTACTTTAGTGGCTAGACCACCCTACCACATGCTAAGAGGCTATAAATGGGTTGTGCATAATGCTCTGAAACCAGGCCTCTTGGGTTTGAATCTTCACTCTGCCCATTTGAGAGACTTCAATTAAGTTACTTTACCTCTCTGGGCCTTCATTTCTCATCTATAAAATGAAGATATTAATAATACTAATTTTGTAAGGTTGTTATGAGAACTCATGTATATGTCAAGTATTCAGAACAGTAGCCTGACAAATGTGCTCAGGAACATTAGCCATTATTACTTCAGAAGTGGGAATTGGAGAAGATTGGGTAATAGTTACTATGTATTGGATTGGCCAAAAAGTCCGTTTAGTTTTTTCTGTAATATAAAGGACACATTTTCATTTTCACCAATACCTTTATCGGTTTGGATATTTTGAGCATGTTGGCTGTCTGCCGCTATTGGCTTCTAGTGGGTAGAGGGCCAGGGGTGCTGCTAACCATCTTTCAATGCATAAGACAGCCCCACAGCAAAGAATTATTTGGCCAAAATGCCAATAGTACCAAGAAACTTTGCAAGCCACTTTGATACATTCGATCAGTCACAGCACCTTCTCCATACACTGTACAGATCTTTTTTTTCTTTTGCATTTCAATTGTTTTTACTTTTCTTGAAATAAAACATAATATGCCAAAAATGTTGCATATTTTCTTCCATCTTCAATATTAAAACAGCTGCATAAATATTCACCAATTTGATGTGTTTTTTTTAAATGCACGCTGATATGACAGCTGTCACCATACAATCTAACAAAATTGGTTCAGATGAAGTTAAAGACAACTAAGCACTACTAGAGCCATCCATATGGAAAAAACTAAACAAACTTTTTGGCCAACCCAATATTTTAGAAAAGACTACCTGCATGCTTTGGTTCTCAATAAGGTAATGATCACAAGATTTCTAAGATAACTTATTAGTAGTTCTGTGTGTCATTCAGTAAACATTTTTCAAGCCCCTCTGTTGATGGAAGAGACGTGGTTCTTCTTACTGACACGTGTAAGGAATTACAGATCAGCAAATCTGTTAGCATGCAATCAGAGTTTATTAATGATCTGTTGCCATGGAAGAGAATGGGCCTAGCTGAGGTGGAGAGGGGGGAGTGAAAAGCAGAGGCTCAGGGCAAAGCAGGGTGGCAAAAGTAAGGGCAGCTGAGGGCCGGGGTGGCACGCCCCCAGGTGTCCAGAGACCCAAGAGCACCAAGAAAATGAGTCTTGTTCTAAGGACTTACATAGTTGGTGGGATGGGTGTAAAAATGTTACATATTGATTAACGGGTAAGTGTGGTGCCAGTTTTCCTAGGGGGATGTGACTACCCAAACTTTTGTGTCGGGGTGTGTGGGGGTCTGTTAGCCCGAATCCTTATCTTGCTCCAGACCTCTTTTGTTCATCTTGTTGTGAAACAGATACGTGACAGGAGGCAGTTGTTTAAAGTTGGGCCAGTTACCCAAAGCTATTTATGAGCTCTTTCTGTAAGCATTAGGGACCCCCTTATAAAACACTATGTGTTTTAGTGTTTTTAAAAAAACAGTGTTTTATAAGGGATTCCTCTGCAGACAATTATCTTATAAAATAGATAATCATCAACAGAAGTAGACAGTTAACCAAAGGTGTTATATGGGCTTCCTCTTTGGGCACTGTGGATCCTCTCCTGCATTCCAGGCCTTGGGATGAAAGTAGCTTCAAGGCTTTCTTTCCCAGATAGTGGAAACGCTACATAGAATTTCAAGGACTTACCTCCTTCCTTACTAACATAGTGTTTATTATGGTGTTGGAAACCTGGCAATATTATCGGACCAGGCTCAGGACTACTGAGTTAGCTGGTGAGACAGGTCTCCCTCTTCTTCCCTGCCTTGGTTTACTATTCATTCTACCTAAGTGATAAAAGGTGTTCCCTGGCAACCAGGATGCTAGACGCTGGCCAATAACAGCAGTGCAGTCTCAGAGTTCTTCCTATGCTGTCTACTGCCTCACCTATGTATGCCAGAAACACTAAGTTGACAGTAGTAGAATTCAGGTTTGATACTTCTTCATTGAAATTCTTTTGTGGGGTGATTTTAAGCTTATTGTTCCACATGGTTGAAGTTGAATCTTGTTAATCTTCATAAACCAAAGTATGTTTTATTTTTCAGAAATAATTACAACTATATTATTTCAGGAAGTTTCAGCAGGTGGCACTCTTTCACTAAATTGGTGGTGTAATTTTTTTACTGCATTTATGGGTGGTTATGTTGTCTTAAAGGTAAGGTGTAATGAGTGAGTGACCATTTACATAGGTTCTTTAGTTTCCCATCACCTGCCAAAACTTGCTCATTTTATTTAATCTCCCAGAGAGAGTTTTCTTTTTCTACATTAAACCTATTTTTTCCTGAAACATATCTGGGTATAATGAAAATAGTGCTTATCTCATTGATTTGTTGTGGGAATCAAAAGTGTTATATGACAGCACCTGGCACATAGTAAACACTGTATATTTTTTATTATTGTGTTTTCATCAATATTGTCTTCTCATAACAACTCTGAAAGGTTGATCTTTTCCCTCTCATTTTTAGATGGTGAAGAATGATCCTTAAAGGCTAATATACTTTAGTGTCTGATGTCACTCCACTTACTAGTAGCAAACATCAAACAAGAGGTCTGACTTTTCCTTTCATTATAGGAATGCTTGTCATCTGTGGGGTGACCTACATATTCCTGTTAGTAAGTGAATTATGTCGTCTATAATACAGACTAAGGCCAAGAAAATTTTGTTCTTAACACAAAATGTAAAAGGCAGTTACACATCTCTCTAGAATCATTTTTTTAAATGGAACCTTCAGTTCTAATTGCACCAGGAAAATAATGCCTGTGAAGTGATTGTTTTTCTCTTCTGTCTGGGCAGGATCAGCTAGCTACTCCTCTGTCCTTCTGAGTTCTAAGAAAGTAGTTTAACCCATTGTTTTAACCTCTGCATCTGTTGCCTCATGTGTAAAATAGGAATAATAATAGTGCCTATTTTATAAGGGTGTTTTTGAGGATTAAATGAGTTTATACATATAAAGCATTGAGAACACTGCCTGGCATTTCACATTCAGTAAATGTTAGTGGAGGGGATCAGAATGAGTTGCTCAAAGATGTGCCTCTGTGGCATGGAGATTATTTTGAGCTGAAGGTAATCAAGGTTTTGCAGGTTCAAGAAAAACTTCTACCTGTCCCTTAAATTTTAAATAGGGGGCCTTGTCCATAACAAGAATTATTAACAAAAATAACTTATGACCTAATTAGAGGGTAGGGCAAGCATCTAATTACTGAACATCTGCTCTTTTTATCAATCTGTGAATTACCGCGCTTTTTAGAGCTTTTATTTATTTATTTATTTAATCCTCATGCAAGAACATGCTTATTGATTTTAGAGAGAGGGGAAAGGAAGGAGAGAGGGAGAGGAACATCCATGTGAGTGAGAGAGAAACAAGTGGTTGCCTCTCATGAGTGCCCAGCCTGTTCCCTGTTCTCCACCTGCTCCCAGGTGTCTGGCTAGGCTGCGGGTATCAGACTTCCTATATATGTATATAATTAAATATAGTTATTTTCTCTTGTTAGTCTGCGCCATATTGATTTCATTATTACACTAGCCAAAAGAATGTAGAAGAGTAAAGGAGACTTTATTCCTCCCCAACATTAGCTATTGTTATTCAGGTCTGGGCTGGCCATTTCTCACTTTTAGCCCCTCCTTGCCTTTTCTGCCATGTGAGTTTAAGCCCCTTTTGGAAGAGCCTTCCTGAGCCCGCCCTGTTCTCTCCCCAATGAACTTGGGTAGCACTCTTTTATGCCTTCGTAGGACCCTGTGCTTGCCCTGTTGTTGAATTGCTCTATTTTATTGTTTAACCGTTTTTTCCTTTTGATTTATAAGCTGTGCAAAGGCAGAAAGCAACTCTCAGTCACCATTGTATTCCCTGTTCCTGACACAGCCCTGGCACAAAATATGTGTTTTATAAATATTTGCAAATGAATAAAACTTAAGCATAAACATGATTATAAGGACTTTGTCTTTTGACTGTTTTCATACAGGATCTGATCTTTCCTTAACCACATATCTTTTTTCTCTTATATTGCTAAACAGGGAGGGAAAACTCAGAATTAATCTAATGGGCACCATATCCAAACATTTGTTGAAAGATTTTTTTTTGGAAGTAAGGTATCTATTAAAGTTCATGTGTGGAATTTTTTATTCTCACAATCTACAGTAGTATTCCCTTATGTGGTTTCACTTTCTGCAGTTTCAGTTACCCACAGTCAACTATGGTCCAAAAACATTAAATAGAATATTCCAGAAATATTCAATAAACAATAAGTTCCAAATTCCGTACCATTTTGAATAGATGCAATCTTCCATCATTCCCCACTCTGTCTGCCCAGGATGTAGGTCATCCCTTTGCCCAATATGTCCACACGATATATACTACCCACCCATTACTTAGTAGCTGTTGCAGTTTTGCAGTGCTTGTGTTCAAGTAACTTTTGTTTACTTAATAATGTCCCCAAAGCAAAGAGTAGTGATGCTGACAATTGGATATGCCAAAGAGAAGCCGTAAAGTGCTTCCTTGAAGTGAAAAGATGGAAGTTCTCATTAAGGAAAGAAGGGAAATTGTATAATATATGGTTGCTAAGATCTACAGTAAAAATGAATTTTCTATCTGTGAAATTATGAAGGAAAAAGAAATTTGTGCTAGTTTGTTTGTTATACCTCAAACTGCAAGTTATAGACCTCATATTGTAAAAGTTAAAGACATGGTATATGAGAAATCCTTAGTTGAGATGGAAAAGGCATTGAATTTGTGGATGGAAGAAATGAACAAAAAACACATTTTTTTTTTTTGCAAGTGCACAAACCTATTTAAGCTTAAAACCATTTTGTTATTTAAAATGTTTAAAATGAATACCTTTCAGAGTTATTTTTTTTTATTTTTTGTAGTTTTTTAAATTTATAAATTTTCCCCCTTTCCCCCTCTCCACTCTTCCCATCACCCCCCCGCCGCTGCCGCCCCCACAATCAATTCCCACTCTGTTGTCCAATGTCCATGGGTCATTCGTACATGTTCTTTGTCTAGTCCCTTCCCCTTTCCACCATTGTCCTCTTTCCCCATCCCCTCTGGTCACATTCAGTCTGCTCCATGTTTCCATGCCTCTGGTTTATATTGTTTGTTAGTTTATTTTGTTGAATAAAGTCCACTTATAGGTGAGATCATATGGTATTTGTCTTTCATCAACTGGCTTATTTCACTTAGCTTAATATTCTCCACTTCCCATCCATGTTGTCACAAAAGATAAGAATTCCATCTATCTCTTTCTTAAACGCAGATTGATTTTATCTATTTTTTAAATGTCAAAGTTAATTATAAAATATTAAAAAATTTAAAACATTATAAAGTCTCAGCAATTAAACCAACATGACACCAGCACAGAAATAATCAAGTAGATTGGTGAAATATAATGAGCATTCTAGAGACAAACATACCTAACAATGTAATATATGATTAAGTTGATATTTCAAATCAATGGGTAAAATAAGGCTTATCCAACAAATAAGGTTCATGGACCACTATTACTTGAAATAAAACAAATATAGAGCCCTATTTGACACATTACACAAGAAATATTCAGGTGAGTTAAAAATCAATATGTAGAATCTAAGGAGTTTGAGGAGAAAGTATGAAATTATATTTTTCTTACCCTGAATTAAAATATTCAAACCCAGAAGCTATAAAGTAAGATACTGACAATATGACTATATTAAACATTTAAGACTGTACAGTAATATATGTATAAAAAAAGTTAAAGAACAAGTAATAGAATAGGAAAGTATTTGTAACACATCTAAAAAGGGGTTAATGGTTTGTTTGGGATTTTTTAGGGAAAAAATTCTACAAACATTTTAAACCAAAAAATGGATAAAGAATACCAAGAAGTCATTTAAAGCTTTTTAAAAATAATGGAAATAGGCAAGTAATATACAAAAACAGGTTTAGTTTTAACAAATAATAAAGGAATAATTAAAATAACACATCATTGTCACAATCAGATTAATACATATTAAAAAATATTGGTAATATCAAGTATTGGTGACTGTGAAAGGAACTGAGTGTTCATAGACTCTTTTTCCTCATTTTCTTAAAGCAGTTCCTTTAGCATATTTTGCAGTGCTGGTTTGGTGGAGGTGTATTCTTTCAGCCTTTTTTTGTCAGGGAAACCCCTTATTTCGCCTTCCATTTTAATTGACAGCCTTGCTTGGTAGAGCAGTCTTGGTTGCAGGCCTTTGCTTTTCATGACTTGGAATATTTCTTGCCATTCCCTTCTGGCTTGCAGTGTTTCCATTGAGAAGTCATCTGCTAGCCGTATTGGGGCTCCCTTATATGTTACCACCTCTTTCTTCCTTGCTTCCTTTAGGATTCTCTGTTTGTCTTTGATATTTGCTATTTCAGTGATGGTGTGTCTTGGAGTGGGCCTCACTGGGTTCCTCTTGAGTGGGACTCTCTTTGCTTCCTGCACTTGTGCTTCCTTGGCTTTTTCTCTCCTCCAATTAAGGAAGTTTTCCATCATTACTTTTTCAAACAGGTTCTCTATCCCTTCTTCATCCTCTTCTCCTTCTGGTATCCCTATTATATGGATAGTATTACATTTCAGGTTGTCAGTATTACATTTCAGGTTGTCCTGCATTTCCCTAAATGCCTCTTCATTCTTTTTGAATCTTTTTTCATTTTCTTGCTCTTTCTGGGAGCTTTTTTCTACCCTGTCCTCCAGCTCACTGATTCGATCCTCTGCTTCCACTAGCCTGCTTTTGATTCCTTCTACTATGTTCTTCAATTCAGAAATTGTATTCTTCATTTCCTCTTGTCTCTTATTGATAGTTTCTATGCCCTTTTTTATGCTGTTATAGTTTGCAGTAAGTTCCTCGTAGTTTCTCTGTAGTTTTTGGTAATTCTCTCTGAGCTCCTTTAGAACCATTGTTTTAAACTCAGTATCTGATAGTTTACTTGCCTCTATTTCATTTAGTTCTCTTTCTGGGGATTCCTCCTTTCTCTTCAAGGCGGGGTGTATTTCTTTGTCTTCCCATTATTTGTGAGACTCGTTTTTTTGCTTTTGCTTCTTAGGTTGATCTGTCTTGATTTCCTGACTTTGTGGACTTCTATGGTAGGAGACCGCTGTTTTTACTCTCTGGATCTGCCTCTGATGATGTCAGATGTCATCCCTGTCTCAGGAAACACATCCTGACTGACAGCAGCATGTTGTGCCTGAAAGCATGAGCCTTTACAAAGCCTTCCACACAAGGGGTCCCCTGGAACAAGTGACCACATTCACATAACTTTTATTACAGTATATTGTTAAAATTGTCTTGTTTTATTATTAATTGTTATTAATTTTTTACTGTGCCTAATTTATAAATTAAGCTTTATCATAGGTACATATGTACAGGAAAAAATAGTACATACAGGGATTGGTACTGTCCACAGTTTCATGCATCCACTGGGGTTTTTGGAACATATTCCCCATAGGTAAGAGGGGACTCTTCTATATGGTTTTAATTTAATTTCATCTAGTTTTGGGCAAAAGGCCAAGAACTTAGCCCATTTGTGCATGTAGTTGCAAAATATTAGAAACAGGTTAATAATCTGTCTACACAAAACCATTTTATTGTAAATATACTAAAAACAGTAAAGAAAGTTTTACTAACTTTTTTGAGGAGGTAATACATGTGTGTGATACAAAATTCAGAAAGTGTAAGAGCGTAGAGTGAAGACTCAACCAACCAGTTCCACACCACAGACACAAGTTTCTAATATATTCTTCCTGATGGGGTCTATGAACATACTAACATTCAAGTGTATGTATTTGTTTTATCTGTGTGGGCACGCATGTATACACATACAGGTATTAAAAATTTTCAGGTTGTCTATAAGAGTTGGACTCTTTTGTAACCTCATCAGAAATAACATGAAAGTATCCGATTCTCCAGGAGACTTTGAGTTTTGCCGATCAGATAGGCGAAGAATGTTACCTCAGTGTAATTTTAATGTGTATTTCTCAAAGTTAGTTATATGTTTAAGAGCCATTTGTATTTCTTTCTCTGAACCTCTGGAACGTTTTTTGTCAGTTTTTCATTTGGACTATTTATTGATTTCCCTTCAGTTTCTAGGAACCCTGCATATTTGGGAAAATAGTCCTTTGTGATATGAATTACAAGTTTATTGTCCCAGTTTTGTCATGTGTTTTTGATTTTGTGTTTTTTACTTCTTTGGGATGTAGTGTTTAAACAAATGAAAGCAGTTAACCAACTTGAATTTGTACCTTTTTTGTCTTTTTTTTTTTTTTTGCTTAGGAACCTGGCTGCTGTATTTGCCATGTACCTGGAGCATTGGTTTGGCAGCTGAACCGGGTTGTTTTCCAGATTGGTACATGTTATCCCTCTTTGGCACTGGAGCTGTTCTGATGCGTGGAGCAGGCTGTACTATTAATGACATGTGGGACCGGGACTACGATAAAAAGGTAGCTTCATCCTCGAAAGGATCAGAGAGGCAACTCTAAATCTGCAGAGCAACATGGTGGCATCACTTTTGAATGCTGCATAAAGCAACAGGCTCATTTAGTGACCTCACTGAAATCCAGCATCAGAAGTGCCAAAAACAGTTGAATGAATAGCTGGTGTTAACAGAGTGCAGTGTATTTCTTCTCTGAGCACAAGAGTTGCCCTGGGGGCAGGGTGTGTACTGTATTTTTATGAAATGGAGTAGGATTTAGAAGGCCAGGGAAAGGATGTTAGGAGCGAAGTGAAAAATCCATCTGAACCTTTGAGTGTCTAAAAGAACTGTCTTCCACCCTGGCCGGTGTAGCTCTGTGGAGTGTCATCCTTCAGACTGAAAGGTAGCGGGTTTGATTCCTGGTCAGGGCACATACCCAGGTTGTGGGTGTGTTCCCTGGTTGGGGCATGTACGAGAAAGCAGCCTACTGATGTTTTTCTCTCTTTCTCTTTTCCTTTCTCTCTAGAAAGCAATGAAAGAAAAAATGTCCTCAGGTGAGGATTAAAAAAAATTAAAATATCAACAGTAAAAGAACTGCCTTCCCTTCCTTTGCAATGTATACTGGAACCATAACTATTCATATATAAATAAAATCTTGATTTAAATGAACATAGGTTACCTTATTAGTATTTGTTATAATTATTTCTTTTAAAAACATAATTTTATTACTTTTTTCTCCTTAGAAAAGTAATACATGTGTATACTGAAAAACTCATACAGCACAGAAATAGAATGGATGGGAAGTGCATGTCGTCCTTATCTCCTTCCCCAAATCCCCAGAGAGAACTTCAGTTAAAGTTTGATACCTTATATTCATCTGGATTATTTTCTATGCATACTCTATCGCATGTGTACAATTATTTCTTTGTTTTTCAACAGATTGTTATTTTCTCAAGGGAAAAGCCCATTTTGTTTGCCTTTTACTCTAGCAGCCATGCTATAACAAGCACAATATCATTAAATGCTTGAGTAAATAATCAAACTTTCAGTTTAAAAGAAACCCATGGTGAATTATATAAAGTAAATAATCATATACACAGTCATCTCTAGTTTGCCTTTCATTTAAGTCTGAATTTCCTTAAGCCACACCTAGAATGATTTTTAATTCATAGAATAGTACCACATCAATATATTTTTTTAATTCATAAAACATTTAATGAATACTTGCTGCATAAGACACAGTGACAGGTTCTAGGATTGCATTGTTGAAAGATAACATTCCTGAACTCACCATTTAGTAGTTGCAGTACAGCAGCACTATCATGAGAGTGGTGTCCACAAGGGAACTTACTGAAGACCACCTACCTCAGCCCCAGGGAAGGGGGTCAGAGAGAGCTTTCAGGGATTTATCTTTGAACTGTGTCAGAATAAGGTGGCCAAAAATAAAAACGGTGGGCTGGAGGGTGAGGTCACTAAGCAGAGGGAACATGAAATACAGAGGTATACCTGTGAAATAAAGAACATTATAAAGCAATCATGGGGATTCTGTATGGCCGGAGGGTGGGATAGTACCGGGAACTGCATAGTAAAGACCACCATATGCCCTGCAGATCCAGTTTGGATGCCTTGATCCATACCAGGAGATGCATTGATTTGGGGGTTCACACCTCCTGGTTGGTTTTTCATTCTGCATAACCATATGAATGGGGCATCTGGCATCTGTCACTTCAGAATAATTCTTGAACATGATTAGAGCACTAATATCCAAATCCTGGTTGTGATGTTGGACTGTAAAGTTTTATAAGATGTTACCCTTGGTAGGGCTTATAAAAGGCACATGGGATCTCTATATTTTTTAAAATACAGAGAATTAAAAAAAAAAACAGCTGCATATGAATCTACAGTTACCACAGAAGACAAGTTTAATTAAAAAAATATATATTCAAACCAGCTTTTCCCATCATTTCCCCCAAGCGATATTTTCTCTCTAGATAACAGGGAACTGATTGGATATCTTTTATCTCCTGCATGCTATTTTCCTCTCATTAGAAGATTCCAGATTCTGTATTGACATACAACGAAGTGCTTAAATGAGTGTTTTATAGCTATTGAGGTGGTTTTGCTAACATGAATTTTAAAATGTTATATGTATCTTTTAAAAAACTTGGCCACATGGTACTGCTTACCTCACAGTTTCTTAACTGTGAGGGTATCTGGATTAAGTGTGTTTTGCTGATGTATGTAATCTACTAGCCATGTGATAAACATTGGGTAGATAAAACATTGAAATAATATCAATCCACAGGTGTTGATATGGTTTTATAAGTTGTGAGCATTCTGGTTTCATAAAAACCACATAGAATATGTTTTGATCATCTTGTTACATAATTTTTAATCTTTTGATTGATTGCATATTGTCAGCTTCCAAATTTAGGTAAATAACTAACTGTACTGAAGGGCCAGTGTAATGCTGTGGTCAGTGAGACTGAACTGACTGTTGTTCTATCTGTGAGTTTGAAAAGTCACTGAGATTCTGCTTTAGTTTCCTAAAACTTAGAAATGGCAAGACCTTGTGAGTGGCTAAAAGACTGGATGGTTATAAGGATTCAGTGATGTGATGCTCTTAGAATAGTGCATTGTCAACAACCAGATACTAGTTGGAAGAATCATAATATCCTGAAACAAATAGAAGAACATAAATACTATTTCCAGCTGAAACAAGAGACCCCAAAGCAAGGCTGGAAGATCCAGCCTTAACAAAGATGAGTCATTACAGTTTGACAAACTTTTACTGCAGAGTAAAACATGCTAGGACTTGGGGCTGCAAGTCTTTTATGTAAAGAATAATATAGTGAATATTTTAGGCTTTGTGGGCCATACTGTCTTTGTTGCAGCTACCCTATTGGAGCATGAAAGCAACCACATACAAAATGTAAACAAATGAGTGTGTCTCTGTGTCAATAAAACTATTTGTGGGTACTGAAATTGGAATTTCATATTATTTTCATGTGTCACAATACTCCTTTTTAAAATTCATTTTGAACCATCTAAAAAAGTAAAAACATGTCTTAGTTCACAGGCTGTATAAAAAACAGGCAGTTTTGCTAACTCTTGCTAGAAATTGTACAAAAATATGTTGTATTAATAATAGTTAACATTTAATGAATATTTATGTTAGCTTCAAACACTGCATTTATTCTGTGAAATGGGTGCTGTTATTACCTCTTTTCTGTTTTTCCTTTAATGGGTATGTAACCTAAGCCCAAGAGAGATTAACTAATTTGCCAAAATTCATATAGCCAATAAATGATGGAATTGGATTCAAGAGCTGGTCTCTCTGATCTCAGATCCTGAGTTGGGCTTTTCTTTTTTTAAAACAATGTTGAAATTTTTAGTTACGTTTTTTTCTGTGGTTCAACTTAGAAATAATCATATTTAAAGATCACTTGGAAGGAAAAGAACAAATTAGTATATATTATTTGTTTACATAATTGCTCTTTCTGTTTGTATTCTCACAGTGGGTTTGCCCTTTATATTTCGGTGGAGGTAATATAAGATTACAGACCAATTCCTAAATAAGATGGCAAAAGCCCTCTAATTTTCAAACCCAGATAATCTGTGATTTTTCTTCACATCTGATTTCTGATTGCAGTGCTTTCCATACTCAAAATATTCACACAATATTAGCCTTATTTAACATGCACTGCAATTTTTCTTTCCTGAGAATTCTCACTTATTGTCCCTCTTTTCTTTGTGGAAATTGAACATGCACTTGCTGGTTAAGCTAAGTAGCTCAGTAGCTGGATAAGGAAGTCGCGTTATTTTGCTTGGGGATGGGAGGTAAGGGAATGAATGATGGGAAATTTTAGTTCTTTCCAAACCTACTTCAAAACCAAGTTCTGATTCTTGGCAGCACTTGCAGTGTTGATTTTACCTTTTATCCATATTTCTGCCGTGGTGCTTATCACAGACCAGTCTCTGGATGACGTGCTTAAATAAATTACTGAGCCATTACTTGAAGCAAAAGTATCTGTTTTTATGTGTTAAGGTTACAAGAACAGCAAGTCGCCCGATAGCTGCTGGAGACATTTCAATTTTTCAGTCCTTCGTTTTTCTCGGAGTACAGCTGACCCTGGCACTGGGTATTCTTCTATGTCTGAATTACTACAGGTATAGTAAATGTGTTTTTCATAATCATGTATAAAATCTATCCTTTGAAATGGAGGAAATAAGAATAAAATAAAATTGAGATGTCTTTATCACGAAGTTGTTTATTGGCTACCCATCGAGCATCTGTAAGTTAGCAAGTATAAATCACCACACACTATAAAATCACATATGTTTTCAGCCAAAGAAATTGAGATCAGAATTTAATTTATTCTAAACCACTTTGCACTACATGTTTCTAAGAGACACAAGGCACTTCATAGGTTTTTTAGGTACATGCATGGATGTGTGTGGATATAATCATTTTTAATCATTTATACAGGGGTGAGCAAAAGTAGGTTTATAGTTCACATGGGAAATAATACAATAATAAATAATAATACAAGAATAAACTGTTTTTGCCTACTCATAACTGTAAACCTGCTTTTGCCGACCCCTGTATAATTTTATTTATGCTGATCGTATCCCTGAAGTAGGTAAGAACAGAAGTGATTATAGTCACTATATGCAAAAAGAGGAACTAGTCTCTCCTAGAGTTATGTTTCTAATCCATAACAGATGAAAAAAGTAGAATTCATTTCTGTAGCTCTTAAACAGAGACAAAATCTGTGCATCAGAAGGCTGCTTACAAAGTGCTTCAATAAGACGAAAAAGAGGAGGGGTCAGCAATTGAGCATTACTTCATAAAGACTAGACTTAATTGTATACCTTGCCCTGCTACCATCAGTCATACGACAGCACTTTGGAAGGTTATTCCTAGAGGGGTGGTGTTAGGAGAGCTTTAAGGTACCTAGGGACATCTTGTGTTACTGTCCTTTCTTAGGTACTTTGTGATCTCATCCTCTTCTAGAGAATTAATGCCCAGTGTACAAATAGGGTAGAATACCTTGATTCTAATTCTCTGTTAGAATGTCTAGTTTCTAGCTGTCTTAATGTTTGAATACAAAACTTAGAGAGGCAGTAGCATATGGTGGGTAATTAGTTGCACTCCGGAGCCAGCCTGTGTTAGGTTTGAATCCTGGCCCTGCTATTGACTAGCTGTATGATAATTGGAAGATTACTTAATCTCTTCAAGCTTTAGTTTCCTCATCTGCAAAAAAACAAGTAGAATAAAACTACCTGCTTCTTAAGCTTGTGGTGATGATTATGAGGGATTATATGTAAAGCAGAGCAGTGGCCTAATACATGAAAGTATTACATGTTAGCCATTGTTACTATGTTTGGTTATTTTATAACACTTAAAATACTTTTTAATCATCCTTGATCCTAATCAAAGTCCAGGAAGAGAATTTTACATAACAAAAAATACAATTTTTAAGATTATTTTCACAATTAGTGTTACTCTTATTGCCCTGTGTGGTGATTTGGTGCTATTAATCTTTCTAATGGTTTTTCCTGATTTCAGCATAGCTCTTGGCGCATCATCCCTGCTCCTTGTCGCCACCTACCCACTAATGAAAAGAATTACCTACTGGCCTCAATTAGTCTTGGGTGAGCTTGAATTAACTACAACTATTTCCTTGGATACCATCAAACTATACTTTTTTAATTTTAATTTTTTTATTCCTCAATTACACTTGTCCCCATTTCCCCCCATTACTCTCCCCTGCCCTTCAAACTATACTTTTAGATATACTATTATATTTACATATATGCACATATAATGTGGCAGAGATAAAAATGTCAATTCAGTCACGAAATTTTCCAAAGAATAGATTTTCATATTTTAAAGGAGGACAATTAGCCATTTCTATCAGCTAAAAAATCTTTCATATTTATTAAGATTATCATCACTATTACTCTAAAATGCTCTTTTAAAAATCTGGATATGGGGACTTCCAGTTGAGATGGAGGCATAGATAGACACGCTTCATCTCCTTGTGCAACCACAGAAAGAATCACAAGTAGACCTCAAAACAACACCCAAAACCATCAGAAAATCGAGCTGTATGGAAGTCCGACAACCAAGGGTTTAAAGAAGCCACATTCATCCAGATGGGTAGGAGGGGCAGAGACATGGTATGGCACAGAGAGGCGGTGCTGGTGGAATGTATGGTGGGTAAAAATCAGGAGCGATACCTTGGGAGCAAGCAATCCCAGTCCCAGACCAGACTGCACGGTCCAGGGTTCCAGCTCTGAGAAGATAATCCCCATAATTTCTGGCTGTAAAAACCAGTGGGGGTTGGGGCAGTGGAGGAAACTTCCTGATTTTCAGGAGACTCAGCTTAAAGGGCCTGCGTGGACTTAGAGCTTATACAGCCCCACCCAGTCTGGGATTCACCACCAGGGCAACAGCTGAGAGGGCGTCAGTTGCATATGGGGAGTGGGTGAAATGACTTGAAATGGGAAGCGTAATTGGTGGGTACAAAATAGGCGGATGTTTAGAATAGAATGTAAAATGGAGAAACCAAAGAACTTACATGCATGACCCATGAACATGAACTGGGGGAGTGGAATACTGGAGGGAAGGGGTGTAGTGGGTGGAGGGGGCAAAGGGGGGAAAATTGGGACAACTGTAATAGCATCATCAATAAAATAATGTGCACACACAAAAATCTGGGTATGGTATGAAGAAAATTAGCTGCCTTGACCCTACCTCTCTGTTTAGGTGGTTGATCTAGATGCCCTGAAGACTTTGGAATAGAAAGCACTCTGCAGAAGAACAAGGGTTAAACAAATAAAGTATGTGTGATAGCTCATCTGGCCTCTCAGAGCTCCCTTTCTGTGAAGCCTTCCTTAGACATCCCAGGAAAAAGTTATAGCACTCTGGGTTCCCACAGCGCTCTGATGACCTCATTTCAACAGCACTAATAAAACAAGAAGGCACTCAGATTGAGAGCCTCCTCTGCCGCCTCCCCAGGAATAAATTGAAAATGCCTAAAAGACAGTGCATTCTTTACATATGGATGGCTCAGCATCTAACAGTATGTGATACCTCCCAGGAATTCAATAAATGTTTATTAATAGAAAGAGAGGAAGATAAAATATCTACTAGTCTTTTATATTCTTTGAATAATATAAAGTATTCCTTAAACTATTTTAGTTTTTTGAATTTTTTTTTTCCACTAAATAAAAGAAGAACCTAAATATACTCCAAGAAGTTGACGAGAGCCTGACTGGAAAGTTGTGATGGAATACTAATCTTAGAAAGAACCTCTCAGTGTTATGTTTCTTTTTATTAAAAAAAAATATATAGGCCTTTATATTCTCAACTGATCTGGGAGTCTTGTGGTAAAAGGAGGATAAGCACCTCCTGTCTATAAGATAATATTAAGAAAGCTGGTATATTTACCTAAAATATTTATTGAACGCTTTTTTTTCCTTTTTTTTTTTTTTTTCTGTGCGAGGAATCATACCAGGTACTAGGAAAATAAAAGTGACTCAAATACATTTACCATGATGCTCCAGCTGGTGTGGCTCAGTTGGTTAGACATCATCCTGCAAATTGAAAGGTAGCGAGTTGGATTCCTCATCAGGACACATGCCTGGGTTGCGGGTTTGGCGCCCAGTTGGAGTGTGTATGGAGGGCAGCCAATCAGTGTTTCTCATGTCATTGTTTTTTGCCCTCTCTTTCACCCTTCCCCACTCTCTAATAAAATTAAAAGACCACATTCACCTCTTGAAGGAGACAGTGATAAACAGACCATTGCAGTACAATGTACTGGCATGAGTGCTGTGGGACCACAAAGGAGAAGCTCCCGATCATTTGAGAAATTCTGAGTGGAAATAGGCCACTTTGGAGAAAGCATTTCTGAGAAAAGACGTTTGGCACCCATTGAGTTTGAGGTATCAGAGAGACTTGGAAGTAGAGATGTCCAGCAGATAGTTCAGTATCTAGTCTGAAGCTTAAGGAAGTGATCAGGCTTGCACATAGAAATTTAGGAGTTGTCAACATGTAGATGTTTGTTTCCAGTCCTCAGAGAGGGTTGGCTCGTAAATAAGGATTCCTGTCGACACTCTTGTTTCTGTAGCTTATAGGGGAATTAGAGTAATAATGAAAAGATCACAGGATTTTGGCCGAGATCTAAGTTCAGACACCAGCATTTACCATTCATTGACTGCTAAGTGCTGTACCAGGTAGGATAAATGGTCTCTTGAAACCTATTTATCAGGAGGGTATTCTTTTTCTTAGCGGTGCTATTTTAATTGTTCATTAACCTCTCTGAACCTGTTTTTTTAATAAAATATAGCTAATTATCACAGAGAGCTGAGAGGATTCAAGGGAGAAACATTAGAAAACAGCATACACAGAAGCATTTAATACATGCTGGTGTCCCTTCTTCCCTTTGGAACATTGAAGTATATTTAACTTTTCCTCTTTCTGTTTCACTCCCTGTAGGGTTCACTTTTAATTGGGGAGCATTACTTGGATGGTCTGCTGTCAAGGGCTCCTGTGATCCATCAGTTTGCCTTCCTCTTTATTTTTCTGGAATTATGTGGACTCTAATATATGATACCATCTATGCCTATCAGGTAAAGAAATGTCATCTTTTTTTCTTAATTTTGGTTTAGTTGGTTTTTTAAAAAACTAAGAACCAAACTAGAGGGGAAGTTTTTCTCCTTAAAAAATTCATTCATACTTCCTTGGTACCAACAAAATATTTGTTTCATGTGCATATTTACTAAGGAGATCAACCCATTTATTTTATTTTATTTATACTAATTTAAATAGTACTTACAATAGGCCAGGCACCATTTTCAATACCTTGCAAACACTAATTTAATCCTCATAGCAACCTGAGAAAAAGGTACTTTTGTTATCCCCATGTATACAGATGAGGAATCAGGCACAGGGAAGTAATTTGTCTCTGTCACGCAGTCAATAGATGGCAGGCCTGGGACTCAAAACTGGACAGTCCCCAGGGCCTGTGCTTTCAACTACTACCCTCTCCTGCCCTTCTGTTGATGCCTCTAATTGTATAATACTAGGCAGCTTTTTTACCTAATGTAGGTAATAAATGTTTCCCCAGATTTTCTCCTATGTTTTTTCATTATTACTTTAAGACTGCATAATAGCCCATTGATTTAACACACCATAATTTTAACAACTTGTCTATTTTGGCCATTTAAGTTACTTGTCAGTTTCTGTAATTATAAATAGTATTCTGACTACTAATGACTTTACGACTGTGAGCTTTTCAGCTAAATTTTTAGGAGTTGTATTAGTTACAACTCCTTTGTGGTCCCACAAAGGATATAAACATTTTTATAGTTTTTAATATTGCCTTTCATAACTTTAATAAAAATTCCTCTAACTTTTTTGGTTTATGTTCTTAATTTTCCTTTTATGTTTATGAACTGTGAAAAAAAATTTTGTCTCAGTATTTTTCTGAAATATGACTGTTCTCATTTACTTAAGAATATGTTGTCACTTAATGAAATTTTTTTGTAATATTTTAGTCTCGATTTCATCCTGCTTTCTTTCATTAACCCCTTCCCCTCACCACATGCATATTATGAAAAAGTTGCCGGATCTATAATCAGCCTGATTCTTGAAGTGAAACTTAAGTAACAGTTTAGAAGAGATGCCTATACATTTTGAATCTCAGGATAGCCGTACTCCAGTTAGATTAACTTCTTCAACAAAACACCATATGTTCATTGACATTTTTGTAGTCCACATAGCTAAAGTCACAGCTTGCACCCTCAAGGTGCTTGCAGTATGAAAGAGAAAACATGCCCACTCATTTGCATTTTGGGACTCCACAAAATAGCTATATGCCTGCAGGTGGGTGCAGAGTTCAGCATGCAGCCCCTGATGTCACAGGACCATAATTACAACAGCATATGGAAATGCATGCAGATAAAGTTGCTAGAGGAGACAGGACAGCTAGATGTGATTGTATCATCAAAACTAGTTCTGCTTAATAGAAAGGATGTGATGGGAGCAAGGCGTAAATTGAGTTTGAAGTGAAGTGTGAATGGATGTGGTTGGATGGTCAGTGAGCCTTTTTCCACATCTGATTTTTAACAAGAGTGAAACTAAAATGCACAGGAAATTATTGAGATGTGAGAACTCTACAGTAAGGGGAGGAGCTATGTAAAGAATTTGAATTGAGTTTTACTTCTAATATAGTAAAAGTACTGTATAGTTAAAAGTCATCATAGGATTATAAGCTCAATGACATGTAGAAATAGAGCTTGAAGATAATTTTAGCAGTAACATTTGACTTTGATTTCGCCTGCACATTCATTACTCATCAACCTGTGTTTCTGAGTTACTGTCATCTTTCACAGCTTATGGTATATCTTTATGTTTATATAGAAATGTTCTTTAACAGACAGTGGCCTCTGGATTTAGATAGCGGTGATGGTTGCACAACGTTGTGAATATACTAAAACCACTGAATTGCATACTTCAGAATGGTGAATTTTATGGTATGTCAATAAAAAACAATTTCTTCTTTCTGATGTTAGGACACGAGCGATGATGCTCTAATTGGTGTTAAGTCCACGGCATTGAGGTTTCGTGAAAACACCAAGCAGTGGCTTAGTGGCTTCAGTGTAGCAATGCTGGGGGCGCTGAGCCTGGTGGGAGTGACCGCTGGTCAGACTGCGCCCTACTACACTGCTCTGGCTGCTGTTGGAGCCCACCTGACTCACCAGGTTTGACCATCTTATTTTTTTCTAGGTATAAATCATAAATATTCTTTAAATGAAATGGCCTCTGTATTTACCAAGCAAAGTACTTCTTAATTTTTTTTTTCTCAAATACATTTGTCTCTGCCTACCCCCCACCACTTTCCCTTGCCCCTTCCCTCCCTCCTTCCCTCTTGTCTCTGTTGCTTTCTTTTCCTTTCAGTGTTGCTGGTCTTATTTTCCTTGCATCTTTGTATTGTTGGTTAGGTTCCACTTATAGGTGAGATCATATGGTATTTGTCTTTCGCCCCCTGGCTTATTTCGCTTAGCATAATGCTCTCCAGTTCCATCCATGCTCTTGCGAAGTTTAGTAGTTCTTTTTTCTTTTTGCTGCATAGTATTCCATTGTGTATATGTACCATCATTTTTTGATCCAATCATCTACTGATGGGCATTTAGGTTGCTTCCAACACTTAGCTATTGTAAATTGTGCTGCTATGAACATTGGGGTGCATAGGTTCTTTCGTATTGGCATTTTGGTGTTCTCAGGGTATAGTCCCAGCAGGGGAATCACTGGATCAAAAGGCAGTTCCATTTTCAGCTTTCTGAGGAAATTCCACACTGCTTTCCACAATGGCTGCACCAGTCTGCATTCCCACCAACAGTGGACTAGGGTTCCCTTTTCTCCACAGCCTCGCCAGCACCTGTTGTTTGTTGATCTGTTTAGGATGGCCATTCTGACTGGTGTGAGGTGGTACCTCATGGTGGTTTTGATCTGCATTTCTCTGATGGATAGTGATGCCGAGCATCCTTTCAAATGTGTCTGGGACCTCTGTATCTCTTTCTTGGAAAAGCGTCTGCCTAGGTCCTTTGCCCATTTTTTGATTGGATCATTTGTCATCTTGGAGTGGAGTCGAGTGAGTTCTTTATATATCTTGGAGATCAAACCTCTATCTGATGTGTCATTAGTGAATATATTTTCCCATAGGGTTGGCTCCCTTTTCGTTTTGCTGATGTTTTCTTTCGCCGTGCAGAAACTTCTTACTTTGATGAGGTCCCACTTGTTTATTCTTTCCTTTATGTCCCTTTACCAAGCAAGGTACTTAAAACAAGCACTTGGCTTGAACTGCCTTAAATTGCCCTCTCCCCTCCCAGAATTTATCATATAAAAGAGTTAGCTATATTATTTTAGAGAAATAATTTAAAACTAGATGTAGATTTTTTCCCCCTCTGATTTTTCTGGAGTTTCTTCTGATTTATGTCTAGAAAAATTTTAGCTGTGTCTGAGGGTACAGGTTAAACTGAGTTACTACGAAAGCAACTGATCACAACTCTTATTTTAAAATGTGGGCTTCCAGTGATGCTAAGAAAACTAAGTATTCTTTGGTTTTAATTCCACTAGCACAGAGACCAAGGCCAGATACGTCGTGAAGTTATAACATATCAGAGTTCTGCTTAGATAGTTAGAAACTGTCATTTCAGGATGTGGATCCAGCACCCCAGCCATCTACAAGCTGATACTGTGAATCTACATTATTGACTTGTATAAAATGAATGAACTAAATCTAATTTTAGTTAATAAATTGGTTGTAAATGGTGTATTTTTGCAACAGTGTTACTTTTTTCTTTTAAACAGAGGATTTAGATGATCTGTTTTGTACACATTATTTGCAAGTTACTTGTCAGTGTAAGCAAGACTTGTATAATAACATTGGGTGAAAGAAACTCAAGTCTGGTGTCTATAAAGTAAACACTATGCTATATCACCTGCATTATTCTCACTAAGAAAGCTAAAAGATTAATTGGGGATTCTCAGATGTAATTATTTTCCTCCTTAGAATTTCCCATCATCCTCTTTTCTTCATAACTCAGCTCCATAGGATTATCACTATCAGTTAATTGTCTGGCCAAAATAATAGAGATTTAACAATATTTAAGCCCCTGGATATTAGTGGAGGAAGGCGAAAGTATGACAAATATTACAACTATTTGGAACACACTTTATATTCTCAGTTGTGTTTGTGGTCCTCTTTCCAGTCCTTGACATCATTAAAACTATTTTATGATGGGCATAGCCTTCCAGTATTTGAAAAGGAAATCATGACAATTTTAAGTCTGCTGGCCATGGTAAGAAGAGTTTGGAAAATGCATGTTGCTGACACTTAAGCCTAGGGAAGAGTAAGTCAGGGACATGAGACTTTGCTGATACAGTTGCAGGATTGCCATGGAGAAATAGGAGTATGTTTGTCCTAGGTCACCGACTACAAATCTAGGTTGCTAGGATTCCCTTCTCTATGTGGGGATGGGAGGGAAATTTATATATGTATTGGGGTATTTTTTATTATCATAAATAAGTGGGGAGGGCTCTCAACAGGCATTTAGTGTGTGATAACCAGGTATATTAAATACCTTTCAGCGTGCCAGACAGCCCTTACACAGTAGAGCTGGAGTGCCCAAATATGACTTGTTCTACTGTTGAGAAACTTTGCTCTGAAGAATAAAGCTAGAACTGGAGGGTAGTAGCTATAGGAAGCAGATTTTAGATCAATTAGTGGAAGGAAGAACTTTATAAATAGAACCAAAAATAGCATGGGTTGCCTCTCAAAGCATTCATGCACCAGTCATGGGGAAGTTTTTGGGATACAGATGATACCCAGTGAGAGATATGGTAGATTTGTCTACACTGGGAAACCATTTGGGATACTTTAAGGGTTTCCCATTGCTTATAATTCTATAACAGAAGTGCTGATATTTTCTCTAATAATGTGTTTGTGATGCCAAAAAGTCCATATTAGTGCTAATACGGTATTGTCTTCTTCCCTCACAGATCTACACTCTAGACATCCACAGACCTGAGGATTGTTGGAATAAATTTACCTCCAACCGAACAGTAGGGCTAATACTTTTTTTAGGGATTGTCTTTGGGAACTTGTGGAAAGAAGAGAAGACAGATGAAACAAAGAAAAATAAAGATGGTAGAATAGAAAATAACAAATGAAGTTTATCTAGGAGTTTTTAAGTCAAACTTTTACAAAACATTCTCAGGTCTGGTTATAACAATTAGATTTGAATAAGAGCGTTACACTATGGTAAAGAATTATGAATCAGAAGATGATGACTTCAAGCTTATTTGCCTGAGTTTTAGTTCAAGTGTTTACCAGCAAAATTCTTCCGCTGTCACACAGACCTGGTACCCTTCAGGATTTGAGATGACCTCGAGTGTTTAGGTTGATATGTTCTTCTGCTCTTTGTAATTCTGATTTGTAGTTATGGGAATTGTATGAGTTTTGGCACTTTAAAAGAAACCTGACATATATTTCATCTAAATGAATGTCTGTAGAAAAATAAACTGTATTTTTAGGGAAAAATAAAAGCTGCCACAGAAAGTGTGACTTACTCTTTATTATTACCTTTACTCACTGTCAAAAGCTGTAATTCAGAATGTGTGTGTGTGTGTGTGTGTGTGTGTGTGTGTGTGTATTTGAAGATTTATTTGAATATATATATTTGAGGAGAATTCAAGTAAATAAAATTTTTTTCCTACTATATCCATATATACTGCTGTCGTTACCAAACCGAAAGTTTATTTGGGAGATCAGGTCTCTGTGCAGCCATAGTGACCAGAATGGGCAGACAGGCAATCACCAGGGCACTAGTTTAATTTCTATTTGTTTCGTTTTTATCGGATTGTAATTTATAAGATAGTCGCATATTGGTTAAGTGTACAGCTCCTTTGCCCCCTTCAGAATGTTCTCAACACAACCACCCGAGTGATTTTCTTACAACCTATGTAGGGTCATGTCATTCCTCTGCTCAGAACCCTCCAGGATCTTCATAGCAGACTCAGTACAAACTAAAAGTCCTGCTACCTACAAGGCCCTCCAAGATCTGGCCTTGTCTGTGACTCATCTTCTCACACCCCTTTTCAGGTCCCTGGCCTCCGCATTGCCCCTCAGCAGCTGGACAGACTTCTTTGTCTGCAGTGCTTTCCTTGAATTATGTCTTAAGTCCTTCACTGCAGGTTGTTTCCAAAATATTACCTTCTCAAAGAGGCTTTTCCTAGCCACTGTTTCTAAAATTTCACTTACAGATGCTACCAACACTTCCCATCACCTTGCTCTTTAATGTTTTTTTTCTCGTTAGAACTTAACCACTATCAACCTAAAATGTGTTTTACTTATTTATGTGGTTCTCGTGGACAGTGGGGTGTGTGGGAAGGCAGTCATTTGCCCATGCTACTTGTCGGCAGCAAGTAAAGGCTAAATAAATAATGATGCAGCTGACAAAGCACTTACCAGCCACTGATAAATGGGCAGAGGAAAATTTATTTTAACTGTTTATTCAGCAAATACTGGTCCACTGATAGTGTTAGACTAATGACAATAAGAGCAGATGTGATTCCACTGTTACAGCAGCAATGATTTGAAGTGGAGAAAAATAGACACATTGTGCCTTACTTTTAGGGAAATATGGTTGGTTTCTATTTTATGTTACTCTTTTTTAATTTTTTTTTGTTCAAATACATTTGTCTCCATTTTCCCACCACCACTTGTCCCTGCTCCTCCCACCCCCACCTCCCACCCTCAATCCTTCCCCACTGTGGCTTTGACCATGGGTCCTTTATGCATGTTCCTTAGTTTGACCCTCCCCTTTTCTTTTTCCCCATTTCCTGCCTCCCTCCTTCCCTCTCATTACTGTCAGTTTCTTTTCTCTTTCAATGTTGCTGGTTCTATTTTCCTTACTCCTCTGTTTTGTTGATTAAGTTCCCTTTATAGGTGAAATCATATGGTATTCGTCTTTCACCCCCTGGCTTATTTCACTTAGCATAATGCTCTCCAGATCCATCCATAGTGTCGCGAAGGATAGTAGCTCGCTCTTTCTGCTGCGTAGTATTCCATTGTGTAAATGTACCATGTTTTTTTGACCCACTCATTTATTGATGGGCAGTTAGATTGCTTCCAGCCCTTGGCTATTGTAAATTGTGCTGCTATGAACATCGGGGTGCATAGGTTCTTTTGAATGGGTGCTTTGAGATTCTTGGGGTATAATCCCAGCAGTGGAATTGCTGGGTCAAAAGGCACTTCCAATTTTAGCTTTTGAGGAAATTTCAAACTTATCCACAGTGCCGCACCTGTCTGCATTCCCACCAACCCGTGCACTAGGGTTCCCTTTTCTCCACAACCTCGTCAGCACTTGCTCTTTGTTGATTTGTTTATGATGGCCATTCTGACCTGTGTGAAGCGGTATCTCATTGTCATTTTAATTTGCATTTCTCTGAGTGCTAGTGATGCTGAGCATCCTTTCCTATGTCTCTGGGCCCTGTGTTTGTCCTCCTTTGAGAAGTTTCTGTTCAGGTCTTTGCCTGTTTTTTAATTGGATTGTTGTTTGTCTTCCTCGAGTAGAGTCGTGTGAGTTGTTTATATGTTTTGGAGGTCAAACTCTTGTCCCAGGGTATCATTGGCAAATATATTTTCCCATACGGTTGTTTCCCCTTTCATTTTGATGATGTTTTCTTTAGCCTATTTTATGTAATTCTAATACTGTATAGGAGAGAGAAAATTTAAACCTATGTTGTTTTCTGTTGTCTTAAAAATGTCCTATATATATTTTTTCCTTTGGAAAAGACTGCCTTGGCAAAATTTGCACAATCTTTCTAAAAAATACAGTAATAAAAATACAGAGCTTAGGCAGAAGGGATACACCGTCAACAAAAGAGGTGAGAATCAAGAAAATAAATTTTCTTAGGAAAGGGTTATTAATTTTTAAAGTATACCATTTCTCATGCATGAAAATGTTCATCTCTAAATGGTTTTTCCCAGGCTACAACCTTGGAAGAATGTTGGGCAAGATAAATAGGGAAAGAGTAGGCCTATGTTTGAATCCTCCCTCACATCAGCTGGGAGACAAACCACCCTCAGTCACCACATTTTTTTTTTTTTTTTTTTTTTTTTGCTGCTAGAAAATTTTTATTTATTTTTTACTTTATTTTCGTATGTTTAAATCATGTTTATTCTATTACTGTTGTCTCAATTTTTCCCTCTTTGCCCTCCTCCACCCGTCTCACCTGCCCCCCTCACCCACAGTCAGTTCCCACTCTGTTGTCCATGTCCATGGGTCATTCATACATATTCTTTGTTTAGTCCCTTCCCCTTCTTTCCACCATTGTCCTCTTTCCCCATCCCCTCTGGTCACTTTCAGTCTGCTCCATGTTTTCTTGCCTGTAGTTTATTTTTGTTCCTTATTTTATTTTGTTGAACAGATTCCACTTATAGGTGAGATCATATGGTATCTGTCTTTCACAGACTGGCTTATTTCCCTTAGCATAATATTCTCCAGTTCCATCCATGATGTCACAAAAGGTGGGAAATCCTTTCTTTTTTTAAATGCAGATTGACTCTATTTACTTTTTTAAATGTCGAGATCCATTATAAAATATTTAAAAATTTAAAACCATTATAAATTCTCAGCAATTAAAACATGACACCAGCACAGAAATAATCAAATAGATCAATGAAATAAAGTGAGCATTCTACAAACAAATGTGTGTGTTTGTATATATCTATATATATATGTGTGTGTGTCTAACAATGTAATATATGATTAAATTGATATTTCAAATCACTGGGGAAAATAAGGCTTATTCCACAAAAAAGGTCCATGGACCACTGTCACTTGAAATAAAATATAGAGCCCTGTTTCACACATCATACAAGAAATAGGTGAGTTATAAAATCAATATATGAAATCTAAGGCGTTTTTGGAGAAAATTCAAAATATTCTTATCCTGAGGTAATATATTCAAACCCAGAAGCTATAAAGTAAAATATTGACAATATAACTATATTAAACATTTAAGACTATATTAAAAAAAGGACAAGTAATAGAATAAGGAAGTATTTGCAACACATCTAAAAAGGGGTTAATAGTTTTTATTCTTTTTTGGACAAAAATTCTACAAACCTTTAATCAAAAAAAAAATGGATAAAGAATACCAAAAAGTCATTTAAAGCTTTTTAAAAATAATAGAAATAGGCAAGAAATATACAAAACAGGTTTAGTTTCGACAAAGTAACAACATCGTCAAAATCAGATTACTAAGTATTAAAAATACTGTCAATATCAAGTATTGGCAACTTTGAAAGGAACTGGGTATTCATAGACTGTCTTCTTAAAGCAGTCCGTTAAACATATTTTGCAATGCTGGTTTGGTGGAGGTGTATTCTTTTAGCCTTCTTTTATCTGGGAAACTCCTTATTTCGCCTTTCATTTTAATTGAGAGGCTTGTTGGGTAGAGCAGTCTTGGTTGTAGGCCTTTGCTTTTCATGACTTGGAATATTTCTTGCCATTCCCTTCTGGCTCGTAGTCTTTCTGTTGAGAAGTCAACTGCTAGCTGTATTGGGGCTCCCTTATATGTTACTTCCTGTTTCTCCCTTTCCCTCTTTAAGATTCTCTGTTTGTCTTTGATATTTGCCATTTTAATGATGATGTCTTGGAGTGGGCCTCATTGGATTCTTCTTAAATGAGACCCTCTGTGCTTCCTGAACTTGTGTGACTTTTTCTCTCCTCCAATTAAGGAAGTTTTCCATCATTATTTTTTTAAACAGGTTCTTTATACCTTCCTCGCCGTCTTCTGGTATCCCTATCATTTGGATATTATTATGTTTCAGGTTGTCCTGCATTTCCCTAAATTCTTCATTCTTTTTGAGTCTTTTTTCATGTTCTTGCTCTGGGAGCTTTTTTCTACCATATCCTCCAGCTCACTGATCAGTCTTTTGCTTCATTAAGCCTGCTTTTGATCCCTTCTGTGTTCTTCAATTCAGAAATTGTAGTCTTGATTTCCTCTTGTCTCATTCCTAGTTTCCATGTCCTTTTTCATGCTGATATAGTTCACAGTAAGTTCCTCATAGTTTCCCTGTAGTTTTTGGTAATTCCCTTTGAGCTCACTGAGCTCACTGAGCTTTCTTAGAACCATTGCTTTGAACTGAGTATCTGATAGTTTACCTGCCTCTATTTCATTTGGTTCTGGTCCTGGGGATTCCTCCTTTCCCTCCAACTGGGATATGTTTCTTTGTCTTCCCATTATTTGTGAAACTCTTCTCTTTTGCTTCTACTTCTTAAATTAATCTGTCTTGATTTCCTGACTTTGTGGTGTGAACTTCTATGGTAGGAGACCACAGTTTGTTTTTTTTGTCTCTCGATCTACCTCTGATGATGTCAGATGTGACTCTATCTGACCTTAGGCAGTCTGAGCCTTCCAGGAATCTACTGTCTGTGGCTGTCTCCTTCAGCTATTAATCTAGTCCCTCTGCGCTCAGAAGGCTGGGTTAGAGACACCACAGGTAGGGGCAGAGTTCCTCCTGGGAGCAGGGTTGTTGGGTCCTCTCAAGCTGCT